TCAAGAGCTTATATACCTATTGCACATATAGATATATTTCTTCTGCATGCAACTGTGACAGACTTTAACTCCCAGGACTCCCAACCAAGCAAAGTGCCAGCGTTAAAATTGGAATTGTCATCTGCCAATTAAATAAAACTAAATCAATTTGTCTAGAAGTATGTGTATCTCTCCAAGCATTCTGAAAGCTCATATACAAGCTTTGCACTCACTACAAACACACTACATTCACTATACATACTTTGCACTCACTACAAACACAGTACATTCACTATACATACTTTGCACTCACTACAAACACACTACATCCACTATACACCGTTTGCACTCATTATAAACATTACAAGAAGTAAGTAGAAGTATAGATCAGGGTGTTGCAGTGGATGTGATCTATTTGGATTTTGCCAAGGCATTTAAAACAGTTCCACACAATAGATTAGTGTTCAAACTCAAGGAAATCGGTCTCGATGAAAAGGGGCAACGGGTGACTCACCTGGCGCACCCAGAGACTCTTACACATGTGGTCTCCCCCGGGACTTCCAACCCACGCAGGGAGTCACAGAGAGTCACTGGAGTCCATCTCCCTCTACTAACAGCATCACTCTACCTTGTGAGACTATCATCTACCTGTTGCAGGTATCGGCTGCATGACCCCCAAGCATACCCTCATCTCCCACATTTAGCCTAGCTACCAGGGGAGGGCTAGCAGCCTTAGGCCTGGGGGGCAAAACCAGTCAAGTGGCCCATTGCACCATCGAATCAGCTCACCATCCATGCCCACCTTTTCCTGGTTTTATAACAAATATTGATGTTATGCTAATCAGTAGCTCTTTGCCACACCAGCTCCTTCACGGCTCTGACTTTCAATGTTGTCAGAGCGCAGGCTGAGAATCTCTGAGCCTGTGCTCTGACTCACTAACTGACAACTGGAACCACAACGGAGAGGATATAATCTAACTGCACCTACTGCTAGTGCGCACCAGTGGACCACCAGCGAATCGTTTAAATTGAATATACTGGTGTCCCCAACTTGTGTGCTGTGTTGGCCACCGGGCACCTCTGTTGTCATGGCACCCTGCGTGACCGCACAGCTTGCACTCCCCAACGGCTGGCCCTGCTGACACACACTGATGTTACTACTTATCCCTCAATATTAATACAGACATCAGAGTAAACACCAATAAACTGTGGAAACAGAGCTGATCCCCCCAAATTTATAAAGGTTTGCTTACTGGATTTGTTGTAAGATTAAATCATGCCTCCTCCTCTCTCTCTCCCATGCGCTGCTCTGAAGTCTGGGAGGAAGTGAAGAGTAATCACAATCTCCCAGCACAGCGGCACCTGTGGCTGCATTGAGAACAGCTGAATTTGCCGCCCCCCACGTGAGATAACAATGCCCCACCCATATGATCTGCCATATGAACTAACGCCAGTGCTGCACACAGTGTGTGTTTACATTAAAAAGCCTGCAGGGACTGGCCATAGATACCAGAACCACTTCATTAAGCTGAAGTGGTTCTGGGAACTATAGTGCCCCTTTAATGTGAGGTAAATTATAGATTAGTGTCACTAATAATATACTAGATTGCCTACTTACAACCAGATGAGGATGATGATGGGCTGCAGTTTGGCTCCACTGGTCTGGTGTAGAACAGGATCTCTGGAGGCTGGTTGCAACTGTGGTCACAAAATTCAATGTTCGGGGAGGATTGGAAGCAGCTTCATTTTTTGGGGGCCCTTTACACAGCTCAAGGTCTGGGCCCCAGGGCCTGACGGTGAGTATGCCCACAAGGCCCACTCATAAGTCCACTTATATGTTCCACCCACCCATGAGTTCGCTCACAGGGGTGGAGTGTGTAGGGGGTGTGTTATGTGTTTTTGTAGAGGATCTAATATGTGTGCTTATGGTATGTAGTGTATAGGGATACCAGTTTGTGTAGGTGATGCAGTGTGTTTGTGTGTAGTGGAAGCAGTGTGTATTTGTGTATAAGGGATGTATTGTGTGTTTCTGGTTGTGTGTAAGGGATGCATTGCATGAATCTGTGTTTGTATGCATAAGGGATGCAAGGTGTGTGTCTGTATGTGTGTGCATTGAGTGTGTGTAAGAGATGCATTGTGTTTCTGTGTGTATGTAAGAAAAGCAGTGTGTGTGTGTTTGCATGAGTGTGTAAGGTTTTGCATTGTGTGTTTCTGTGTATGTGTGCAAAGGATGCATTGTCTTTGTGTGTAAGGGTTGCATTGTGTGTGTGTAATTGATGCATTGTGTGTAAGGGAAGCATGTTGGGTTTCTGTGTGTGTAGTGATGCATTGTGTGTTTCTGTTTCATGTGTGCACGTAGTGTGAAAGAGCTCCCTGTCTTGCCCCTTGTCCTATAGAGCTGTCCCTTATGTCCCTTAGAGCTCTCCCCTGCCCCTTAGTGGTCTCTCCTCTCCCCCACTCTCCCATAGCGGTCTCTTCTCACACTCACCCACCCTCTCTGTGCTCTTCTCAACCCCCCTTCATGTGTTCTTCTCACCTCCACCTCCATGTGTTCTTCTCACCTCCCCCTTCCCTGTGTTCTCTTCCCCTCCCCCCTCCCCCCCGTGTTCTTTTCACCTCCCCCCTATGTTCTCCTCACCTCCCCTCTCTGTGTTCTTTTCTTACCCCTCTCCCTCCCTGTGTCCTCCCCATCTCCCTTTCTCCTCCACTCCTCCCTCCTGTGTTCTTTTTCTTACCCTCTCCTCCTGTGTCCTCACCTCCCTCTCTCTGTGTGTTCCTCTCACCACCCACCTCCCTGTGTTCTTCTTCTTTCCTCAGTCCCTCCTTCTCCTCACCCTTACTCTCCCTCCTCCTGTGTTCTTCTACTCCCTCTTTGTTCTTTTCTTACCCTGTTTTTCTTCTTACCCCTGCTCTTTCTATCACTTCCCCGCTTCTTCTTCTTACACCTATTCTTTTCTTTCTTACCCCTCCTTCTCCTTCTACCCCTCTTCTTCTTTCTTACCCTGCTTCTGTTACCTCCCTCCTTCTGTTACCTCTCCTTCTGTTACCCTCCCTTCTGTTACTCCCTCCTTCTGTTACTCCCTCCTTCCTTCTCTTACTTCCCCTTCTCTTCTGTTACTTCCCCTTCTTCTGCTTCCACTCCTTCTGCGTACTCTTCTTCTTGTTACCCTCCTTCTGTTACTTCCCCTCCTTCTGTTACTTCCCTCCTCCTTCTGTTACCCCTTCTGTTACTCCCTCCTTCTACTCTCCCCTCCCTTTCTATACTTCCCTCCTTCTGTTACTTCCTTCCTGTTACTCCCTCCTCCTTCTGTTACTTCCCTCCTCCTTCTGTTACCCCCTTCTGTTACCCCCTTCCTTCCTTCTGTTACTCTCTTTCTGTTACTTCACCCTCCTTCTGTTACTCCCCTCTGTTACCCCTCCTTCTGTTACTCCCCCCTTCTGTTACTCTCCTCCCCTTCTGTTACTACCCCCCCTAGCCTCCCCTTCCCTGTAGCGTGGCCAAGCTCCTCTCTGGTCCGCGGTGCCCGGCCGGAGTGATAGGAAGGTGCACACTCAGTGTGCACTTCCTGTCAGTCCGGCCGGGTACAGGAAACAGAATCTCCGCGCGGAACAGGAGTTTCTGTTTCCTGTACCCGGCCGGACTGACAGGAAGTGCACACTGAGTGTGCACCTTCCTATCACTCCGGCCGTGCACCGCATACCAGAGAGGAGCTCGGCCACGCTACAGGGGAGGGGAGAAGCAACGCTGCAGCCGCCTGAGGCTCTTTACAGAGCGCTCAGGCAGCTGCAGCATTAGGACTGGCCCTGCAGCGGCCGGTTTTAAAAGGATTTGGGGCGGCCTGGGGAGATACACTACACAGAGGCACTCCAGGGGTTAACCACACTAGCAAAACTACACAGGCTTACCTAAACGGTTTTCACCAGACCACACCAGCTATGTACACACACCTCATCTCCTAACCAGCAGACCATCATGTTTAACATTATATACTTACATGGTTAGGGTCCCTGGCATCTTTGGCAAAATAAGGGATGACATAGGCCTAATATGATGATAGCCCGGTAACAGAACAATTGTTCTGTTACAGTTCTGTTCGTCACAGCTCCTTTAAATTTTCCTCTTTTTCCATGTCGTATGGCTTTTCTTGTCTACCTTGACCTTTGGCTTCACACTTATAAGTGATATGTGGGACATGACCCAATGAAGGCAGATCAATTCTTTATGTGGCTTCTTTTTTTTACAAACTCTAGAGTCTTTGATAACTGTTTGCTTAACATATATTGTACAGTAAAGGAAGTTAGTCCCTCAGAAGACTGTATGCTTCTGAGGTCCAGGCTCAATGCAGTATTCATTACATCTCTACATCTATTTTAAATTCTTTATTTTTATTTTATTTGTGCATGGAAAAACACATATAGTGCACCCTGCCACAACAGCTAGAGCATGCAAACATAGATTTGCATTAATTAGGCAGTGGAAAATTTTTTGGGTTATTAACATTGACACAGAGTTATATCCAAACTGATTATAAATAAAATAAGAAACAGGCTTCACATAAAACAGGTTATAATAATAGTAGAGAGTATTGTAGGCTAGTTTTTCCCAGGTTTGAGATGCCTTGTTGGCAGCAATCGTCGTTCTAGGAACATATATCTAGGTAGTATCATAGCCTATGAGGAGAGTGCACAATTTTATGGGTTTGATTAAAGATGTTGAACTATGGATCCACACCTGAGATCTGAGAGGGCATGTGATAGTATACCATTGGCCCCTGTCACCTATTATACAGCCTTGGCTAACTGTGTTAGAGGGAGAATTCTATTGGTGATATGCCATGTGATTAACAGAAAAACAAGGTAAAAACAATATAAAACAATGGAGCGTACTATTGGCACTGGGTTTCTGCTCAGACATGTGTGTTTGATGTCGAGCTAAGCTAGCTAATTTAGGTGCTGCTGTGTGTGGTCTAACATGGCGAGAGGTCTGTGGCAGAGCAAGGCCCTGTATTTACCGCTAACCGATGCCCCTCAGTGGGTCTACAAAGTCCCGATCAGTGAAATGTCCAGTCAGGCAGGGGAGGTGTAAGGCTTCGTCTGTCCCTGGTGAGCTCAGGTGAGTGCAAGCTTGTGGTGTGGCGTTGATCATAGCCTGGGACAGCGACCCTCCTCTTTGGTGTTTTGCCTTGTGTTGTACAGGAACTCTCAAGGGGTGCGTGTTGTGCTGATGGTGGTGGGATGCAGCCAGTACGAGTTGGCGGCTTCCAGCCGACCTCTTTGCTTTCAGCGTTGTTATGATGATTCGCCTATTGGGTTGCAGCTGAATTTGGCACTTTATGTGAGTCGGCTGTGCTGTAGTGGTCCTCCTCCCATGGCTGCCTCGATGTGGAACCGTTACAGCTGTATTGCGGGCTGTTCTCCATTTCTTAGTGTGAGTCAGTGCTGGTGCAGCTGCCGAGGGATGGGAGACCCCGGTGGCATGTGGTCACTGTGTGGAGATTACCCATCTATGGGCCCCCGGTACGAGCTTGTTTCGCCTCTTTGAATCAGCCGTCAGAGGTGAGGAGTCTTGCCTGCTGGCCCACTGTTGCCTCTCTTCAAGCTTGCGCCAGGGTCTCTTCCCTAGGGCCTGTTGTGTTGTTAGGACTTGTGCCCGCCATCTTGGCTCCCGCCGATTCGTCCCTCATGAACGTGTGCTGGGTCATCGGGCCAGTAGGTGGTTGTGGGATTACGGTGTGGGTGATGGAGCCAGGATAGCGGGCAAGGGGGGGGGGGAAAACCCAGCTGCATTCACGTTTAACAGCAGGGTGGCCAGCAAGAAGATCGGCCGCTTCCTCCACGCTAGTCCCCCCAAGCCGCAGTTGTGCATCGAGGCCATGTTGCTCGATTTGCATCCAAAAAGCTGGCTGGTGTTGCGGAGATTAAGCCAGCTTTTTTCCAGTCTTCCGGTATCCGATTTTGATAAGGTAAAATTAGAAATGTAGGCACTTTTGAAGCTTTTCATACGGAGCACACTCTGCATGCGTCCGTTTAGGTTGGCAGCCAGGCCCTGTCCCTCTCTACATCTATTTTCTGTGGTTTTCTATTTCTATCTAAGAATCAGATTGTATTAGACTATGTGTCTTTTAGGACACACTTTATTTTCTCAATATAGATAATAGTACATTTTGTCACTCTCATAGTTGAGACACCAAGCTGAATACATCCCTTAGGAAATAACCTTCACTAATATTTTCAATGTTAAGCTGTCTGTTAGAAAGTTCTCTTTTAAATGTTCTAAGAGTGAAGATAATAAAGTACTTGGAATGTTTAACCTACAATTTGGATTGTCTCTATCACAGAGATAGATGGTTGCTTTTTAATTTTGCCTCTCCAGAATCATCACCTTTAAAGACTTTCTTTCTTATTGCGTGCCCAACTTTTCACTCTTTCAGTATTAGAAAAGTTCTTAAGTTCCCAAGTTTAATAAATCAGCAGGGAACTCTTTGTATTCTAAAAACACGTGAGTAGAAATATTAAAATTTCTTTGAAATGTCAGTAAATATTAAGAGTAGTGGAAAATAAAAAAAAAAGAACAGTTATAATTTAGAGCAAACTACAAATGTTTTTGAGCAGCATAATCTATTCAAAAAAACTTTCTGATTTTATTTTATCTCACTAACATAAGTGTTATTTTGGATTCCTTCCAAATGTGTTTTAATCTTGTGGCTTTGATTAAGTTTGGCTTTGATTCATTTTTTTTTCTTATTTTCTACCCTAGATAAAGAATTATATTCTAATATCTATACATAAACAGAAAATGGAAAATTCAAGTGTACTTTAACAAAGTTTTTAAAGCTACCCTTAGTATTTTACACTCCAAATCTACTTGGTTAGCCATTAAATTAATAACTAAGTTAACGATAAGAGTTAACCCATGTGCCTCGGGCGAGCAATGGGCCCAAGCCACTCAGTCTGCATAGCTGTAGCTTCCACATTTAATTATCCTTTTTTTTGCAGTCAACGACAGTACCTTGAAGCTAAATGGTAGGCTTCCACCTTTGTGTTACATCAGATCTCCCAGCTGAACCAATTAGGTGGGATGGAACCAATTTTTGGGTCATGTTCCACCTTCCCTGGTGTCCCCAAAAAGCACCAAAACAGTTCTCCTTGTAAGTTCTGCCCCTAGTAATCAGCCAGTGTGGCGGGCAAGCAGTCTGGCTTGCATTTACACCAGGCTGACCTGCCAGTAATTTGGACGGACCCGCCACCTTTCCTTTGCCCCCTTTCCAATCGCACCACTGGCATGCCCTTTAACTCCTCCCACCATTATCCAACTTCTTTGGACTCAACTGCATTTTGAAATGCAGGAAACAATCAGAAATCTAAATGATCAACCAGAACATGACTGTGTGTTATATGCCATGCACATAAAACATATAGCAGACTGACCTGTTGCGGCACAATGGCCTGTCTCACGAAGTGACATACAGCCATCAGCCACTAATAGCTGTGGCAGATACAGAGACTATGAGCAAGCATGCAGTTACCTTGGATTCTGAGTCTGGAAGTGTGGCAAACAGAAGACGCATTGCTGTTTTTTAACCTTCCTTATCTTGTGGGATCCTGTGTCCTGAAAATGTCTTAAGCACCTAGTTTACCATAATCAACTGTCAAAATATTTTGGAGTCATTTCAATGAGCTTTTTGTCACAATTTTAATTTACATTTAAAATGTATCACACATGCTGCATTTGACTTGTCTTACTATTTTCTTGTCTCATAGACCTCATAGACTCTGATTCTCTTACAAATTACAATACAATGGGTGACATAAGATAAAATATGGAATTTAATGTAAAAATGGACACCTTTGTGTAACTTAGACACCGAAACAGAGAATAAGCACATTTTCTGTCCTCTTCCAAAGTCTCTTGGTTCTAAGCCCTCCTTTCTTACTGAGAAAGGCCTTCCATTGACCGATATTTTGTGTCATTCTACTGCTTTACACCTGTACTCCCTTTTGGCTGCAAACTTGATGGAGAAAGATAATGTGGACCTGCTCTTTAAAACCTGGCCTAACCTCAGTCTTCATTACACTGATAGTTTTGTCTTGGTGTCTATTTTGACTGCTTCAGTCAAAGTACCCCGATATTCCGTTATGGGTTCTTTCTGATTTCCCTTTTTACTGCCTCTTTCTGTTGACTCATCAGTTCCTTTACATCCCAGATCCACCACCAATACTGATGACACTGAGATGTATACCTTTTCCAAAAAAAATCTCCCTTTTCTTCTAGATTGGCTCACAAAGTGCCTGTCTGCAACCTAAAAGGGGTGCCTGGTACTATTTAGTGCCAAAGACAGAGATTACTCATTCTTTTGATACACTTATTATGGCTAACACAATGCCACGTACATGGGCTTTAAATTAATCCTGATCAGGACTAATGGTGTTGTATGATTCATTTACAAACATATATCTTTGCAAAGGACTTACTGAAGAGCTGACTTTTCAGTGTACAATTGAACATTCTGTGGAATGGTGATCATAAAATATTCATACATTGAATTAGTACAGTATATAATTGGTTATCAATTCCAGGAATTTCTGCTGACATTTACATGTCTGAATGACGATAAAGCCAAATGTTACTTTATTATGTAGAATGAAATTCCAGCACTTTTCTATTATAGAGGGACATGGATGTGGTACATTCCCATACTGTACTATTACTTGTGATCTAAAACCAGTCCATCTTAAACTACTCTCATTGTTTATTGTCTATTCATATTAGCTTTATTTCAGTATATTTCTTTAAAACTTCTATTCTATTTGCCTCACCTAATCCCACTCATGTATGCCACATTATAAATTTTTAACCCACACACTTTAATTTTGACAACAGTCACATTAAACACAGCTTGAACACCTATGCTAACGTTCTAAGGAAGTAAACAACGCCCACATACTTCTAAAGGTAGTGAACAGCCTCCAAACTTTAAAATCCATTTGTACTACAGAGGTTTCGTTCTTAAAAGTTCTGTGTATCCCACTGTCTTTCTCCTCCCATTGTTGTTCTTTCCATTTTATTGTGCTGCAATTGTTCCTGTTACCTACTGCTGTCATGCATTGTAGCAATATTTTAGAGCAGTTACAGCATTGTAATTGACATGTTTCATGGCTCAATGAAATCAAATTCTTTAGAAGCTTAAGTATATATTACAATTATATGAACAATAAAGGCAATGCTGCAATTTAGCTACATTGCAATAATTTTATGGCCAATTAAAATACTGCTATGGTTGGACTTATGGTAAATGACTTAATTTTTTTGTACCTCTTTTTCATTTAAATGTCAGCATCTTTATCAATTATTATGCCACTTTTTTTTAAAAAAGAGTTTAACATCCTATTATAACTTGTATATAGTATATAATATAAAAAAATCAGGTGTATAGATTAATCATATCCTTTAATTTGCTATTTCAGTATTGGTTATATACCACAGGTAATATATCATATACTATATACTATTTGATATATTATATCATATATTTTTAATATATATATATATATATATATATATATATATATATATATATATATATATTTCAAACATAAATGTGTTGATTTTCTCTTTTGTTATACCTCTGAAATAAAGTTCTCCATGTGGTCGAGTTTACTATTTCTGATTGTAGGTCCCATTTTATTATTCTTTTTTTTTGACAGCATTCATTAGCTAATGGAATAATAATTAGTTCATCGTTATTTTTTATTTATTTTTGTGTAATGCATTTATAAAGGATTTATAATGGACAAATCAGGGAACATTGCACTTTGGCACACTTACAAATTTCCTACCCCAGTTGCCTGTTCTTTTCCCAACAAACTTTCAACCACATTTTTTATCTATTTACTAATTATTTTAGAATCATTTATCAAGGGTCTAGCCCTAAACATTCTTAATGGGATGCCTCAATCACTATAATTGCTAACTTGTTGTACAGACATTTTGTGGTTCTGTCCCAGTATAGAAAGCCAAACTTCATAGAGTTTAACAATTTATCTTGGGCCTGCAAGCTGTCGGTCACTCCGTCCTCTGCATTTGGAAAGCTGAAGGGCTCTTTGGTTGAAACCGCTGATTTGATGCCCTCAGCCTCAGGTAAGTTCTCAAACTGTTCACTTGGAGTGTTCCTTTACAACTTATTTTTCTTATTTTTCTGGAATAATGTAGATATATATATAAATAACACAAATACTTTATCCTCAGCCTTATTAATATTTTCCACACCTTTTAAAAAAAAATAATAATAATTATTCAGCATTTTTAACTTATCCTATATTTTGATGAAAAATAAAATTTTCCTTTTCGTCTGTCTTCTTTCAAATCAAAAAGCAAGATAAATGTGTGGCTTACCCTTTCACTTTTTCAAATGCCAAGCAAAAATAAAACAGTCAACACACTGTTTTTTTATACAAACATTGCTTTACATGATTTTCTTACTTTTTGCTTGTCAGCAACCATCAATTTAGAAATACAATTCAAAGGTCCCACTTGAGTTCCTAAACAAATATTCACACACAAACACATACCTATATATCTGCTTATACAACCACAGTGACAGACATACACATGTAGAGAGACACACTCAATACTAGACAGAAACGCACACTCAAAGACACACTCATACAGACACATCATCACAGACAAGCACACATTCACAGATACATCCATAGGCACACACCATCAGATACATTTATTCAGAAACACACAAACACTCACAGATACAATTATGGTAGGTAGTAAAAGGGAAAGATATCATTCAATAAAAATAATAGAAGAGAAGTAGAAAATAAGAGATATTCAGCGCTTTGCAAATACTGATGCAGTCCTAGACACAGCTTAATCACCAGAACCGGGGTATCT